GTTCAATTTTTGATTTCCTTACTAAAATCAATAGGCAACTATTCACTGTTTCCTTTCAAATTGACAGTTTTCAATTCTCTGGTTGCAAAACCTGGGTTTGACGAGACACACTGCTATGAAGAAATATAGGTATCTTCTTTTATTTCCACAATATCAGAAAACGTCTCGACTAGGAACGACCTTGTTTTAAGACTACGAACGATTCGGTCCAGAAGTGAATGATCAGATAATACTCATATCTGATTACCGTTGCTGACGAAGTAAAAAATGAAAATGAAACTGGTACCCCTGAATCTTCAATGGGAAGAGGGGTTGAGTAATACCTTACTTTCCTAACGATACTCTAGTTGTTTCAGGTTCAAATAACTAGTTTGGTTTTTTAAATTTTTACCAATCAGATTTCAATGTTTGTTAGTTATGTAATAATATTTTTATGAAGAGGCATAAACAGTTCAATTTATTCGCGAGAACAAGATTTTTTATGGAATATTGTTCAAAATAATTTTTGAAGAGACCCCAAAGAAAAAAGTTCAATGACGATAAATCAGCGTACAGGAAACCTGTTGCTTGAAAAGTATCCTACATCGGCGACGGGCTCCTCTTGCCGCCAATGAATGTATCATTTGCCCTCCGGTGACTTTGATACGTTCTTTAAAAACACGATAAGATATCAAATTACTCGGTAAATATGTTTTATCATATTTTACTATGTGGAGATGTCAAATGTCGACAAACTATCAAACGAGCCATCGTAAAAAAAAATTCAATTTATTTTACCTCATATCATTAATTAATCAGCTCAGAAGAATTGATACCGAAAGAAACAGCATCACCAGCTCTTCAGCTATCGACTATGGTGCAACCAACTCAGTGAATTATAATTTCGATACTTAATATTAACAATGATAATGATCTTTATCAATCCCAAGAAACAAAAATGTTTTCATAGCAGGTATGAATTTGAAAATAGTATTGAATGATTTATTTGAATATTAACACATCAACCAAATATACAGCACATATATACATACATACAAATACACATGCATTCCTATATATACATACATATGCTGAAGAGCTGTTTTTCCGGGTTTGGAACTAGACTGATTCACTCGGACTTTGTTTATTAACCCCCAAATAATTGATGATTCGTGACCTTTTCCATAATTTTTGAAAATATAGGAAGAACCGAAGTGGGTCTATAATTGCTACCGGATTTGAATATAGGAGAAACACATGCAATTTTACGGTTACTAGGGAAGATACCAGATTCGAAGGATTCGCTGATTATTTCCTTAATAATCGGGGCAAATTATGATCTCACATATTTAATAGCATATACTGAAATTTGAAATTCGTTCAGGCCAGTCTCAACTCCCTACACAGTAGGTTAATGGACTGACACCTATCAGAAAACAACTACTCCCCTGGCTAATACCACGAAGGGCGTTGGATTATATCCGACAGGTGTCAGTGCAGGATTCTTCACAGAAGTTATTCCTGCATATGCTGTTGGCGATACAACTGCCGCAATAGATTTTCAATTATTGGAACACACTTGCAGACCGGTTTCGGGCTGTTTGGCCACTCGTCACTGCAAGGTAGTGTATATCATCAACATAAAATCGATGATTGCCGATAATTGAAAATCGAATTCCGTCAGAGTATCATTCCTCGAACTAAGCTGAAGCATACAACAAACAACAGGTTTGTCGTCGCCCCATCTGTCTGTGAACGAGGTAACCAACTGCATATCCGAAATTTGCCCAATTTCTCGTATAAGGAAAGAAAACTTTCACATATAGTCAGTGGACATACTTGAAGACTGGCCTGAACGAATTGATCAAAATAATTTGATTTATAGCCAGTCTTCAACTATGCCCACTGACTATATGTGAAATTATTATATTTCTTCTCTATCCATATCAAAACTCTAACAACGGGAACATAATCCAGAACCTCAAGTGATTTCTCTCGGGATTTCAAGATTTCAATTGCAAATTCAAGCTTCGAGATCGGCTGCTTTACGGGATTCGTTCTATCCTTCACTGCAACTTCAATCGTCTAAACCTAGACAATGACCATTTTTTCGTATAATTTTGCGAAACAGCACCGATTTTCATTATCATTGAAATTTTTATTGATATATACATATCCAAACAAACATCTTTTAGAATAATTAACAAACATCACGTTATTATCGAATACTAATAACTTCCACCTTCTATGTTTATTCAGTTTGCAATGATACGGATATGAAACATTTTCTTTCTGACATTCTTATTATATTCAGAAAATCAATGAGTTTGTTCCAAAATACCTATTTTATTTTGATTTTTGTGATTTGATACTATTGAATATTGAGTTCTTGTTACAATACTGTATAATTTTGAGTAATTTTCGATGTTAACAAAAAATAAAAATAACTTTGCACCAAAAACTTCACTCTTCAAAGTAATTGAGCGTGTTTAACACCATAGTTGGGTAATTTGTGATATTGCAGGCTTTTGAAATGAACCTTCTCTTCTATCTATTTATCGTTCTAGCATTTTTTTTATAGTCCTCTTTTAAAAAAAGGGTTGAAGAAATGAAACTTCACTTAGATGGTCTTGACTTCAAATGTATAAGTATTTTTTAATGCTGGACAAGTTTTTGTAATAACATTTTCTGAAATTAATCAAAATAAGAGTACTTTACTCCTGTCTCAAAATCAAATATTTGAAAAGTCCTCGAATATTACGTGTGTTTTAGTGTATTTTGTTAGTGCATGTTCAGTTTTAGGGGATACACAAACATTTATTATGAATAACATTTTTTCGAAAAACCCTTAATAAATAAGTTTCTCATATGGTGCATACTTTGGGGATGACACTGTATATCATATCCTTCAAACTTCATCAAGATGACGATCATATATACACTATTCATGAATCATTTCAGTGATCATCCCATCACGAACGTTATTATCAAGATCTACTTTAGTCTATCTGCAGACCAATATATCTATATCGAAGAGCGAGTCGATTTATGAGCACATACCTGTGTATCCGAGAAGAGGAAGACTGTCTCCCGTTTCATCAATCCTGCTGTCAACATGATATTCTTCACGTCATCTTTCCAATCAGTCAAACCATAAGCTTTGCTCAGCTCTATCTGAAAGCAGTTGAACTCCGCTATAAATGCAGACAACCTTGTGAGACTTTGACGTCCTAAAAATTTCAAACTCATCACTTACACTAGAAATACAGAAAGATTTGTCGATTTATCGCTGCAACTATCTCTCCCAAGCAAATTGAAGTAATTCATACCTGAACCTCCCATTCCAAGTAGCAATGCATTACCCATCGGCTGTCTGATTATCCTGGAAATTCTGCAGATGTGGGATATGGCGTCCAAGAACAAAACAAGCTTCATCGGTTTGGTACTTTGCATATTATAATCGTTCAAGTAATATTCTAGCGATTCTGATAGTTTTTCGTAATCCTTAATTTGAACGTACAGACCGGATCCAACGGAAACATCCAGGAAGTCACCGAACAAGATTGTTTCCTCGCCAAGAGCCTCCTTTGGATCTATGTCGTAAAACTGGACAATTTTTTGCTTCAGTAGCGAATCGAACCAAGATCTGTCGTCGTCATTCACTAGACGGTCTTGGAATACTCGGCAGCACTCGTGGTACCAGAGACGGATCATTTCTTGGACATCCTATACAGGAATGAAATGATAAGGCGTATATTCCTCATAATGGTATAACGAGAAACCAATAGCTTTGAGAAGAATTCCATAATTATTTCAAAATCAAGATAAAACGTAAGCTATCAGTAATAATAATGATAAATTTGTCTCGCCAGGATTGGTCATTAGTTCATTATACTGGTGCGCCCTATCGAATGTATCGAGGCTTTGTGGGATAGGGCCCGACCAGCGTAACCTTGTGAAAAAATAATAATCGTTTCAGAGCAATTTCTAACACTTCAAATGTGAGAAAGAAGAGGGGGGTCATCTAAGTGTAGTGGTTTGGATAGAGTCTGCGAAGTTCGAAGGGAAAATATCTGTATTTCATCCATTCTATCCTTGTTTTATCGAACCATATTCGTCTCACCAGGAGCTAAAAACTCACCGAAAACTATATCAGGTTCATCAGATTGTACCAGCCTCAGGGTATTTCTCAAAATGGATACAACATCCCCCGGAGCGTATGACAACACCGATGTTACGTCAATATCGTAAAAGTGCCTTAAGTGATAACAAAGCAGGGCGATATGTCGGTTGATTTAGGCTAAAACCGAATTTGCTGGATATGCACGAACATCATGAGCTTTAGTGTCTCAATTGCCTCGCGGCATTCCCTGCACCGTATGTCAGGTATCTTTATACCCGTTACGCGACTGCAATAGGCTGAAGTGTTATAGATACCATTCTGGTAGGCCACAATGATCCCCTCAGTTTTCAACTCCAGGAAAGCACAGGTCAGGGGCTTTGATTACCCGAGGCCTTCAACGTTGTTATGGAAAACCCCACGCACTAGTGTATCCTTGTGTTTCCCCAGGAGTTAAGCGATCTCTGCTGCGGTTTTTATGTGAGCCTTTTGCTAGGCGGGTTCCAACTCGGTGATGTAATTGTGATCCCTTCGTTCTGTGTCGACAACCAGACCGAGTCAAGCTGCCGCTCGGGCAGCTGTCCTGAAAAGGAATGCCTATATTCCTGCTTTCTCATGGTCGCGAAACATGCAGAGACGAGGATCCGAATTCCTGATGGTCTGCGACCTTCCTATTATCAAGGGAAGTACAACCGTGAAACGTTTACATTTCGCCCGTACAACCGGATGGAATGCAAACTCCTGTGAAGATGCATCATTTTTCGGCTCTCCATTGTTCTTCTATCTTATGGGTAGCGTTGTTCCACCCCGATGAAATGCGAGTCTCTCTGGCAGGATGTTTTCATCTACGAGCTACACATCCTCTCCGTAATTCCCGCATCGTCTTCTTTCAAGATGGACCGTTGCACATCTATCTATCTTGAAATTCATACTGATAGCATGCGTGTATCACCCTCAGGCGCTGACGGAGTATCCTTTTCTCAAGAAGCATAACATTTGATATCATCCTTTTAAAACGAATAGGTGACGTTATGGCAATGGAAAATGGCAAAAGTGAGATGCAGAAGAGACGGGAATTGGGAGACCAACAATACACCCCTTCTTGAAGGAGAAGCCAGCCTGCCAGGTTGGTATCAGTTGTTCAAGGCATTTTGTCGGAGGTACCGTAAGGCATTTGGACAAGTACAAAATGAGATCATATGATGTTGTAACAGATGTCTTGCGGTAATAGATTCAGACCACAGAGAAGTACGCTTATACTGTATCGGGTCCTGCGTTACACAACTATTGATAAGTGGGTTTTCTTCAACATCCGGCGACTCTTCTCTTTGGCCCTTCCTGCTCATATATCCGAATATTTGGTCAACTGTCGAGAGTACTCATATGTATATTCTCGTAAACAACTTGTTACACGAATGTTATTGGTCTGTAATTTTATTAGGATTCGATAAATCTTCGTTTGTTGGAAATGAGAACGGTCAGGTATCATTATCACTATTATCGAAACCTCATATTCCTTCACTGTCTTTCTTGAAATCAAAAAATTTGACAAAGTGAGAAATTATAAAACTGTAATAACGAAAGATGAAACAGGATTACTCACTGCACGTCAGAAATTAATTATTAAGAAATGATTTCAGTGGTTATTTCAATCTCAATCTGAAACTAAAAAAATAAAAGAAGAAATAGTTTTCAACTCACCAATAAATTTTCTGGTTCAAACATCAGTATTCCTTGAAAAACCTTACTCAGATCTCTCAGATTGAACGTGTAGTGAGTTTTTGCAGGTGTTGGCAAGAGCTCATGTAGAATAGTCAAATAAACTTCCAGGGTAGAAGAGAGTACCGCCGAGTGATATTGTTTCAGACTTGAGGTTCTGTTCAACCAAAACGCCAGAATGGTGCCAAATATTTTTTTCTGGAAAAAAATTAAGATATACATAATATGACCATTGTAAATGCAACTGGTTGAAACTTCAGGGGATTTTGTTCAACTTAAGAAAGCGAAGCACGTGTCATATTTTGGTGTATCTACATTATTTGTTTATAAACAAATATAACACGGATTGATATTTACAGTGTGTTCATATTGTATGTTTCAAAGGGTGAACCTATCGCATATGATAATGTTATGATAATAATGTATTTATTCACCACTTTTGATATTATTTGTTCATAATAGAAAATAACTAATAATAATAATAATAATATTCAACGCAGGACTCTACACCATATAAGCGCAACCTCTCTATGGCCTGGATCGATTACCGTAAGGCATTTGATACAATATCGCATGAGCTCATCTTGCATTTGCTCAGATGCCTTGCGGTACCCGACAAAATAGTGAGATGCATTGAACAACTGATACCAACCACTCTGGCGAACCCGCTTCACCATGTCATCTGGTCGAGCTTGAGTCCAAACAGGGTGGGTCACTTTCAGAAGGGGTGTATTTCAGGGCGATTCCCTCAGTTCCCTTCTCTTCTGCATCTCACTATTGCCATTATCCGTTGCTCTCAGAAATACTCGAGGGTTGTGGAATTGGCTGCGGTGGTAGTGCGCCCGACTCACGATTGGAAGACCGTGATTTCGATTCCCGCCTCGACCAGATATTTTTCTCGAGAGAATTTATCTGGTTGAAGCTGGAATGATTCTGCAACCGTGTTAGGAATCACACGTTAGAAGGTAAGACCCCGTTAGTCCTTAGCTCGCACAAGTTTCTCAACTTCTGAGAGTTGTCGTTCGTATGGGGACGACAGCTGATTAACGGAAAAACAGATTTTAAACAGAAACAGAGATAACTGTGGCACCCAGGGTAACCGGAGGCACAAGGTCACCCATTTGTTTTATATGATTGATCATATACTTTATGCCTCTGGAGAGAAGGATTTCCATCAGTCCATGAGGACCACTGCACATAGACAAATGTGCAATGGTCCATCTCAAAAGAGGAAGATGCGGGGACTACGGAGAGGATGTGCAGCTCATAGATGGAAGCATCCTACACCATCTGGATGCCGCAGAGACGTATACTCACCTCGTGGTGGAACAACGCCACTCACAAGAGGTAACAGCAGTGAAGAACTCTCTCCGCGGCAAGTATCAGCACAAACTTCGACAGATCTGGTCATCGGAATTGTCGGGGAAGAACAAAGTTGCTGCAACAAATATGCTTGTCGTTCCAATCTTACTCTACTCGTTTGTAGTAGTGAAGTGGACTCGGGAGGAGCTGTATCAACTCGACGTAAAGACCCGAAAAATGATGCATCTCTATAGGAGTTTGCATCCCAAATCGTCCGTCCCACGGTTGTACTTCCCCCGACAACAGGGAGGCCGTGGACTCTTGAGTTTGGAGTGTCTACATGACAGAATGGTACTGGATGTAGCCTGTAAAGTCATCAGGATTTATTGGAACTATTCGTTCCTCACCATCAAGCTCAAACAAGCTAATAAGCCTGATGTAGTCCTTCTCGATCACCAGAGCAAGACGATATTTGTCGTGGAGTTTTCAGCTCCTGGCGAGACGAATATCGTTCAAAAAGAGGAGGAAAAACGGTTGAAATATCGAGATTTTCTCTTCGAACTACGCAGACTCTATCCAGACCACTCTGTCAAGATAGTTGTTCTGATTATAGGAGTCCTTGGTGCAATGATGCCCTCTATACTCTCAAATCTTAAAATCATACCGGCTTGCCGCACTAAGGCAAAAATTTTAGCCACACAGATGCAGAAGGCTGTCATTCTTGGCTCACTGCGCTTGCTCAAGGCACGTGATTATCGGACCCAATGATCACTTACTCCACAGTGTGGGGAGTGGTTATTGGTTGATGATGCTAGCGCGCCCTCCCTAATGTGTCAGAGCTTCGGGGAAAAGCACACACCATCACACACAAGCTGTACCCAATTCAGCTTCAGTGATTCAGCTTCATTCATATATATATATGAATATTATATGTCAGAAATATGTATAACTTCTATTTGTATTTGGTGAATAAACATAACATTACATTACATTGGAAGTAGTCACCTTTCTGCAGTCCGTTATAATAAATAAAACAACATTCGACTATGAATTTTATAGAACCTTTACAAATACAACTTTTTATACAGGTCATTTGGTGTAATTTGAGTTCATTAGCATGTAGCTGATCATTTGAATTGGGTGAAAAAGTCATAAATGTTTCACACCAAATTTCCAACTAAATAAATTATGATTTAGCCAGTGCAAATTTTTTTTTAGAATAACTTCAGAAATGTTTCACCAGTAAAGGTCATAGCCGTATACTATGATTGATATACTCAATGTAGCAGAATTTAATAGCAGTATAATGTATTATTTTTTTTTACTTTCCCTTTATAAACTATCAGAAGGTCAAGGCCTACCAGCTCTGATTTTATTATCTTAAATAGATGAACAAACTAAGAGACAGCTATCAGTTACAGTTTTTTTCACATGTATTGATAATGAGTTGATCGATAAAAAAATAAAAAAGTAATAAAATAGAATTAACGTCAGAACTGGACATGGATTTGTTAATGGAAATTGATCTTAGAAACGAAAGACTTAACTATGCAATATAAATCGTAAAATTCTTCTCCGGTTGTATGTAATATTGGGTACGAGCCCAGATACTTACTCCAGTTGTATTTGATGAATGATTTACCTTACTATCATCCTCCATTTCCAGAAACGTCAGATAATGGAAATGTCTGAGAAGACGGGCGGTCACTGGATTTCTACCACCTCCCGGTGGACCCATAGCCGCTACGAAGTTGACATCTATTATTTTTCTGAACTCGCCTATATTTCTTCTATCGTACCACCCTAAAATAATGGATTGTTATTCATTCATTTACGCATTCGATGATTTCGAAAAAAAATGTTTTCATTTGTAAACGAATTATCTCTACAATTTTAACGATACTAATAATTCAAGCAAATTCTGTTTAAAAGCGGTTTACAATGCATCATGGAAAATTTCAGTAATTCGGACTTCCATTGTCTAATATGATTAGTATAANTCTGAGGGTAACATCCACCCCTCCTAGGGGGTTGAACCCCGAGGGTTGAAAATATTCATTCAGAGTGTCCCCCTTGCAAATAAAGTTGACCTGTCTGACCATTTTTTCATATTATGTACTGGAAGGGAGATATTGAGGGTGGGAAGTTTTCAAATTGACACACTGTATATTGTAACGAATTAATGAATAAACTGTCTTAAACAAATTTATTCTTAACAATATTTCACTATCACAACTAATTTATATACAACACTTAGCAACTAACGCTTGATTTATCTTCACGGTTAGAATTCTTTCTTTAAACGCACAATTCACTTTCTAAATACAGACTCCCTCTCTGAGCGAGGACCCGACCTTTTATATTGGTAACGAACGTTCTAGATACCGCTAGCGGTTTCGGTACTCATCTATTCTTTTCGTGGCGATTCGTCGATCGCAGTCCTTTCGCGGTGAGTCATATTTTTGGTGTATGAGATTACGGTCAGGGCCGGCTTCAGATTCATTACAATACCCTCTGTGATTTCCCTGAAAGCTTTAGTAATTCTTCGTTTCATGTATTCTATAGATGTTGGAGGAGTGTTGTAGACAATCCATTTGATATACCCCCATAAAAAATCATTTTGGTTAGGTCAGGTGATCTGGATGACCACACCACAGGCTCACCCCTACCTATCCATTTTTTATAGAAATTATCGTTGAGGTATTCCCTTACCTCAGTTTCAAAATATGGTGGTGCACCGTCTTGTTGTAGCCACATTTTTAGTCTTGTTCCATATGGAACCCCGTCCAATAAATTGGAAAACTTATGCTGAAGAAATCTTACATATTTTCTTCCAGTGAGATGTCCATCCAGAAAATACGGACCGATAACTAGAAGTTGTTTCGATATATAGAGAATGACCACAAGTCAATTTTTTTTGTAAAGACATGTATTTTGTCTTTTGCAGTGATGACATTTTCATCTCGCCCTTGAAGACTTTTATTCAAGATATTTAAATGGTCAAATACGTCAGAAAGAAAAGCTAATTTCGAAAAAAAATCCGGGTCACAAATAAATTCAGAGTATTCCGACTTGGTCTGTTGTAAATATATTAAAAGTTCAGCTCGGAGTTCCATAACTCTGATGCTCAATACTACAACCACCTAACCTCTGCATGGTAAAGTAAATTTTGGTGGAGTGCCCCCATGTCTTCACATATAACCCGAAACAATCGTATCTGCAACGCTTTGCCTTTAATTAAATTTACAATTTTTCTAATATTCATAACTTGACTGTATTCCTGTGGCAGGGTTTTGGCCACAAGAGCTTGGCGATGAAGAAAGCAATGCATCCAAGAAACTTTTGGCATTTGTTCATTCAATATAGCAATAAATCCACTTTTTGCACCAGTCATAGCTTTTGCTTCATCACTTCCCAATCGATATTCATATCTTGCGTAGCTTCAAGGAAAATGTTATGCAGGCACTAACCTGTAATGTTTGAGGGAAGTGCTCTGCAAAATAGTATTTCTTCCATTAATTTTTCATTGGATTCAAAACGCACAAAAGCAACAAACTGCGCACAACCCGCAATATCCGTAGATTCATCAAATTGTAAGGACACAAAAGTACTTTCTTTTATTTTTTCTGAGACTTCAGTCGCCATATCGCTTATCCTGCGTTGAATGGTATTGTCTAAGAGAGGTATACTTTTGAGCTTTTCTACTTCTTTTCTGCTATATCTAAAGCCGCCGGTAAAATCGAACTTTCGGCAACTGTGTGGGGTTTTTCTGTTTTAGCCACAAGAAAAGCTACTCGACAACTAGCAAGCAAAGCTTTTTCATTAAGGTTGGACATTTGTACTTGCATGCTTTGCACGTCACACCACACTCGCTGGACAGCCGACAACGGCCTTGGTCTTTCGTATCCATGCGCGTAAATTGCGTTAGTTATCAATTGGCGACTTTTTCGATGTAAAAGAATGTTTTTACGTACTTTATTATGTATTTATATCCTAATTATCAAAACGCATCAACATGTTGTAAGGACTGAATATAATAGTAATAATAATAACATCGTCTTTATTATCTTCTAATACATTTGAATCAAATTAATCATGTACAGTTCACTTATTATAAGAAGACAAAAGGCGAATTTCACTAGTTCGGACTTCCATTATCTACTATATAAAATGATTTGAAATCCCCGAAACAACTGAAAAAAGAAGAATTGAAAAAGAGTAGCTGAATGTTCGCATTGAATGTTCGCATTGCCGAGCACAAGAAACACACACAGCGAGGGAAGGAACTTCTCTTTGTAAATCATAGATGCAAGGAGGCAGTTTTCGTCATTTTCACCCAAAGCATAGACCATCTGCACCATATCTTCCAATACATAATGAAAATGATTCAATCTACACGCGAAAGAAACTTCAACACATGTCGTTATTGAAAAATTTCGAGATTCATTTTTTGATGTCAGTAATATTTTTTAGGTTTTTTACGCATTTTTTACCGTTGAAACCGCTGATAACTGTCACTAAATGGTGTGGAAATGCTAATGTAGTAGCGATTAGTTTGAATATTCGAAAAACAAATTTGAGTAAGTGTACGTAAGAAACTACATTTTTTTGTGGTTACAATAATTACAAAACTTGGTATAATTTGTAAAATATCCGTTTTTTTATAGTATACCTCCGATAAAAAATATTTCATACAAATGAAAAAATACAGGGTATTCCATTTGAAAAAGTTGAATTATGTCTGTTTGAAAATAAATGAAACTTCACCGGTTTTACCGAGCACCCTATACACTGTTTCCGAAAGTTGAGATTCCAGAAATTATTATGGTGACGTTGACTAACTATTCCTAAAATCCACTTAATTGCTGTAAACATGCGGGCGGTGAATTAAAAAATTATCATCTGCAAAATAGGTTTTTCTGGAATAACTTGGCAATGCCGCAATGAAAATTCGAAAACAAAAATTCATCAGAGAGCTAAGAAAATATGGAGTCTAATGACGTATTCATATACTGGGTGTTTCATTTAAAAAAATATAACTTTGGTTATCCCATCAAACCTCAACTGATGAACCAGAAACCTATTTCCCTCACTTGTGTTTGATTAGCAGTTGTTCTTGCTGAAAAATTGATGAAATCGCAGATGAATTTCTTGTGCATGTTTCTACTGAGTTTTCCAATAACTGTGAGAGTTTTTCCTGTGCCCGTAGGACCAACGCACAATACATTATCTTCGTTGTACAAAATTGTACCAAGTAATTCTGAATTTCTGATGTTGTCAACAGTTGGAATTTCGATATCTGAAATGAAAAGTGAAAGCAAATTGAATTAATGTTCAGCTTTGATAATTTGCGATGTTTTCATGGACGTAACTATTGGAAATCGCTCCCCAGTTAATTAGCATTTCGCTTTGTATTAATTTCTCCTTTCATCGTGTTTATTCAGAATTTCGAATCATGTTATATCACATAAATAGTAAATTGAGTGATTTACAAGTCTTTCATGAGAAATTAATAAATCAAATTCAGATTTCAATTACCCTAAACAATATTTGAAAATTGTATAATTATACTCGAGGTCGATCAAAAACGAATGGATGAATTAGAAGTCTTAACAATCGAGCTGCAGTCGGACATACTTTTTGTGACCGAAACATGGCTGGAAAAAGTAGAGGAAAAATATCACAATTTTCATGGGTTTACGTCTATAGTATATTCCAGCAGAGGAAAACGAGGAGAAGGAATGGGCATTTTTATTAGATCGATTTTGAAATTAAAAAAAAAAAGATAATCTACTAACATTTATCGCCGTGAAGATCAAATCCCCAAGTCGAACATTGTGTGGTTCACGAGTATATCGACCACCCCAATTTTAAAATTTGTTTAAAATCTGTTTAAAATCTGTTTTTCAGTTAACCAGCTGTCGCACCCTACCAACGACAACCTTCGAAAGTCGAAACTTGTACGAGCTAAGGATTAACGAGGTCTTACCTTCTAACGTGTGATTCCTAACACGGGTTGGACGATAGCAAGTGAAAATCGATCGTTCAGACTAGGGCTTGAACCACCGACCAACACAGCAGTCAATTCGAGTGAGTGAATAAAGCACCCACGTGGAACCGCCTGGCGACCGACCGGGAAAATTGAATAAAGAAATGTTTTTTCGTCACATGGATAGGACACTTGAAGGTTTCATCAACTACAAGTGCGATATTCTTTTATTTGGTGATGGGAATATTGACATTTTGTCTAGTACTAATGAAACAAAACAATTAATGGATATCTACACATGCAATAATGTATATGGAGTATATAATGGTATTACTACACGAGAAGTAACTGAGAGTTCTACTATCATTGATCATTTTGTTATGAATACAAAAGAAAATACGCCTCTTCATTACAAACTTTGCCATCAGTGACCATAAAATGTACATTTCTGATATTAAAATGTAGTCACATGAGTCAAGTAGACCTGGAGATGATTATATCGAAGTGAAAAAATACGACAATTAATGAAAAATATTCTCACTTCAATGAAATCGTTAAAAAAAACTACAAGAAAAAAAGAAGTATAATGAAGAACATTTCACTGCCGCCTCGTGAGCATATTTAATGTTTCCAGAAATATAACCAGAGAAACAATGAAGAAAAGGGGGATGTACCATGAATATGTGTCACACGGTATATATCAATTGAATCATCTTCTATATAACCATTTCCATATCCATCTACTGACTACAATCTATTGTTTTCATAATGTTAAAGAAATTATTTTCTTATTCCTCGGATTATGGCTTTATACGTCACCCTGTATGGTCTGCAATTATTGGTAAACAGTGCTGTAAAGACACAAGACCCATGAAATAACTGCTCAAGCGCATGCTACAATTTTCCAGAGGAACGAAGTTGCAAAATAACATGGCCTATTTCTCCCGTTTTACTACCAAATTCCCCATTTTGCCGACTTTGAGCAATTTTTTTCTCAAAAACTGTCCATTATTTTCCGTTGTGCCCGTAGAGACTTTTGATCAGGACATTGAAAAGTTCATCATACCAAAAAATCAGCAGAATTCACCGAAAGCCATTTTCTAAAAAGATTTGTTCGTGGTCCTTTGCAAAATAATGTGAGTTCATTTTGTTGCGATTGAAAAAAAATCAACTTCTGCCATTCCAAATATTTTAAGACGACGTCGGACATAAAAACCTGCAGACTACCGCCAAGAAACCCGGAAACTAGCTTTCTCACAGTAATCTCCAGCGGTTTCACATTCTTAGATCAATTATACTATGTTTACAGAAGGCAAAATGGATCATCCAGCCAGTGGAGTAATGTTGAAAAATAATCTGCACATTACCATGAAACAGACATTAATATTGTGAAATTTCATCCACTCAAATTTTTGTTATATTCTGTGTTATTTTCTGTTTTGATTCAATGATCAATATTAAAGTTGGAATTATGATGAAATTCTGAATTTTGTCGTTCTTTTCATAAGTATAGATATGCATTAAATTATAGTATATTTTTCT